CTGCCACTTGAACATACAACAAGACATTGGAAACCTATCCACAAGCACTAGATTTGTCTCTTCATCTAACAACATATCCAACAATCCCATCAGATCCAATATTTATACTGGAATCATACATTCTTCCTTCAGATTCGAACCCACTTCTGGAATCAGTGTCCACATCAGCATCATTTCTACTTCTTCCAGAGCTGTGTTCTACTCCATCTGAAATTGCTGTGCTATGCACTACACTTATGCAGAACTGCCAATGACTCTGGAGCCAAACTGTCTATTTCTTAAGAAAGTCTATTGCTACCACCTTTTCAGTCACTCTTATAATTTCCATAATCTTGTGGTTGAATTAATGCATCAATTCCAATTTCTGTAACAGGTGTGCCTCTAGTGTCATGCACATTAGGTCTGGATTTAGTTCTTCCTGTAGTGATGTATCACACTTCTGAAGCTGATATCCTCACTAGAACTATGTATGCACCTTCCAAGAGATATGCTCTTTATTTATTTGTACTGGGTGTGGGGGTATTTTTTTGCGGGGGGGGGGGGGGGGGGATAGCTAAATATTTTTGTGTTTTGCTCCTCTATATCTTTTCCAACATATGTCAACTCTAAGGCAAACCTATCACATAGCTTCCTTGGCAAGCGGTGTTTGGAGGAACTTTGTCTTTACCTTTCTTAGTAGTTGAGATGATATGACTTGTCTAAGATCATCCAATTAATCTCTCAGCATGCAGAGCTACATGACAATTGAAAATTTTTTGAGAAATTAAATGATTTTGATTGAAATTGAAATGTTTTCCCTGGAGATATCTGTAAAGGCATTAATTAGCATATGATTATTTTGGTCTACATTTGCTATATGGGATGGGGATGATTCTGAGTTGACCTCCCAACTGATTGATAGGCCTATATTAAGTGGCCAGTTCCTACTGGAGAAGAATGAACCATTGAATGTCAAGGTCAGACTCCAGCCAGTTCAGATAGTAGTTTTCCTTGCGAGTAGTTTTCCTGCTTCTCCTAATACTACCAGCATTACTATCATTGCTAGCAGACTCTATCACAACACTGAACATTGCTGAAAGAGTCAATATTTATGTGTATTTCATTGATTCCGTAATAAAGTTATAAACTATATTATAAATATATAAAGTTTGTATAAAATTTATAAATGTGCTATTTAATATATTTCTCAAGACAATTCTGGAAAATTTAGTACAATGAGGGGCACTTGGAATTGCTGAGAGTTCATTCAACTCCTTACCAAAACAACACTTCCCATCTCTGGGGAGAATAGAGATATGATTACCAGACTGCTCCAAAACCCATATAGGCAGACTGATCCAGAACTCAAACAAACAATCCATGTGCTCATTATCACAATTTGAAGGAATAGCCTGGAAAAACCTACAACAACCCAATCATTCTTCTGTTTGTTTGTTTTTTTCAAAAAAAATCATATAGGAAGAACTACTGGCAGAAAGACTCCCCAGACCCACACCTGATGCTGACGCTACCTCCCCAACCCTGCATCATTCATGCCACTGATGGCTCGGTGCAGCTGATATATACAACTTCTCTGCTCAAGGCTGCTGCTGCCAGCCTTTGTCACTGTTGTCGCCTTAGTGTTGCTGGGTTTGTTTTGAAGGGTGAGGTGGCATCTTAAGAGAGTGGGAGTAGCATTATTTAGGAGCACTGATTTATTTGGGAAGGTAGATCTTTGAGGTGTTGTCTTTGCTTGGAACAGGCTTTCTTTATCAGCTGGTTTGGGCTCCCCAGCGCTGAGTGGCCTGAGGGCCTGGACTCTGACCTAGAACCTGTTTTTTCTCTCCCCCCCCCCCCCCCTCGGTGCTATTTGTGCCATCAAGAGTGGAAGTGGCTACAGAGAGGGGATGGCAGACAGAAGGAATCCCTATGAGCCAGGACTGTGAGGCAGCAGCAATGTAGAGAAGAAACAAAGGAAATACTCTCACTTCAAAACAAACATGGCAACAGTAAGGAACTTATCCCACCACCACCACTCCTTTTAAAATATTTTAATCCATTGAGGGTGTGATTTATGATGAGGGTGTGATTTATGAGTTGAATGAATTTTGGCACACTCTTCCCACAATGCAGGGGAAGTTCCTGTCAGCTCCATCAGAATTCATTAAGAAAACATCAGAAACAGACATTAAAAAGAGAGGGGGTCAGAAATCATCTTCTGGACTCAGGAACCAGAATATAACTGGGGAGCACATGCAATAACATGTGGGATAGGAGCTGTAAAATTTGCCCGGTTTTGAATCACTTCACTCGCTCCCTCCATCTCCCTCTCTCATTCAGAGATTTGAATTCCAAGAGGTTTCTCTATGGCCAGCACAATAAATTGGTGCCTTCCTTCTCCTCCAGAGCAGCAGGATGGGAGGGAGGAGAAAGCCCCAGTCTCCCCAGAGGTCTTTCCCCCACAGTTTTCTTTTTGTTAAAAAAATGGATTATTTGGGAGGAAATGTCAGAAAGATCAACATGTGATAAGGAGTGACTATTTGCTTTGTAACACTACAGCACTAAAGGCCATGATAATATGAGCCCCCCACCCCACCCCCCACCACCTCACCCCAATGAGATAAGGTCCAAAGGTGACAGCAGCAATAAAGGCCAGCAGCAGCCTAGAGAGGAGGAGTTGTGTGCATTAGCCATGTTGAACCAGTAGTGGGAGACAGTAGTGGCAGAAAAGGTGCAAGGTTGGGGAGGTGGCAGAAGTATCGGGCGCATGGTCAAGGAGGATTTTTGAGGACTGGTCAGGAAATTAGGCAGCAAGACAGATAAAGTTGGGCAATGGACTAAAAATATTAAAGCTCAAATAAAAGGGCTACATTTTATAATTGAGAGCACTCTTTTCCTCATAATTGGAGCTTCTTCTTACAATCAATGACATTATTGATGAAATATTGTAGTTATGACAGACTAAACATGTGAACACATAAGGTTAACGTTTCAACAGAAAGCAGTTTTTTTATTATTTAAGACACTAGAAATGTTAGAAATCTTGAAAAATACAGTGGCAACTATACAAAGACCTATATCAAGAATAATGGAATGGAAGTAGGATGAGAGAATTACTACAATCTATAAACATACAGAGAAAGTAAATCAGGTAAGAAGCTAACACAATAGATTTACCTAACACAGAGGCTTCTTGGTTTTGAATTTGACACAGAGATAAGATCACATATGGTTTATTATGAGGAACACAGTAACTGCTTTAAAAATGGAATGTAGAACTTAGAGATAATGTGGATAAATCTTTCGAAAACCTTTTCCATGATAGATCCTTTCTGATTAATTCAGGAATCAGTCAGGAATAGTTAATTCGGTTAGCAGATCTGATGGTCTCAAGAGAGTGCTTCATACTTATTCGATGTATAGCTGGACTGAAAAGTCTTACCTGGCTCTAGTCCTGGCAATGAAAAAGTGTCCTCGGTGAATTGGAGTTAGAAGGCAAAGTAAGTTGTCTGTGAGAGTATTGGAAAGCAAGTAAGAAGAACTACCATAAGCACCTCAGTCTCCCTCTCTTGAGGAAAGTGCCTCAATTTTTGTAATGATAGGCTTTGCACTAATAATTTTCTTGGAGGGGTGATGGTGATGGTGCCTTGTTAGATCACATTAGCCCATTTAACAACTTTGGCCATATAATGTATGCACACATTTGTGAACCTTCATGTTGTTTTGCTCTATTAAGTCAGATGTTTTAAGTTAGTTATATGTTAACTGAAGTTCTATGTTATAATTTTCAATTGATTATGTTTTATTTAAATTATAGTTGTTACATTTAAGTTGCTCTTTATGTGGGTTTTATATGTGTAGTTATTGTTACTGAGGCATTGAATGTTCACCTTTTTATTTGTTGGAACCTGCCCTGAGTCCCCAGGGGAGATAGGGCGGAGTAAAAATAAAGTTTTTTCAAATTCTTTCATATCTGAAAAACAGACACTCATGGACATTAGCTTGCAAACAGATTGTAATACTGGAGGGGATGTGATGGGTGCACTTTAGCCCAGGGTGTACTGGTGCATCTCATTTATCTGTAGTAAGCAGATTTTGCAATGCCTTCTGGCGATTCAGAAACATGTTCAGAACAAAGTGTGACCAAAAAGAAGTAGTGCATGAGCATGGCAAACACAAAGATACCGGGATTGTGGCGCAGCTGGCTGAGTGTCAGCTGCATTAAGATCACTCTGACCAAAAGGTCATGAGTTCGAAGCCAGCCCGGGCTGGAGTGGGTGTCCAGCCATTGTGTAGCCCGTTGTCGACCTTTGCAACCCGAAAGACAGTTGCATCTGTCAAGTAGGAAAATAAGGGACCACCTTGTGTGGGAGGCTAAATTTAACTAATTTATGAGGCCATAAAGAAAAAGACTCCGGGGAATGTGGAATGCGGAAGAACTTCATCGGTGTCGTTGATGGACAATGAAAAGCAGCAGCTCCCCTGGCGGCCAGAAAAAAAAAAGTTAAATAGCCTTGTTGTATTTGTCTGTTAAACGTTGTTTGTCAAACTGGCATTGAATGTTTGCCATATATGTGTTTACTGTAATCCGCCCTGAGTCCCCTGCGGGGTGAGAAGGGCGGAATATAAGAACTGTAAATAAATAAATAAATAAATAAATAAATATCGTGGTAACAGTACTCCCAGCTATCTTTAGTAGGATTCTCTCTTAGGCCCAAAGGAGGTAGCTCTGTTTTTTGGCAAACTTAAGGGACTAATTCCTTAGAATTTTGGCAAGATGTTGACTTCATGCCCGCTTTAAAAAAGAAAGAAATATTGTGTCATGCAACATTCTCATTCCTTTTCTTGTTCCACTCACTGAATATACAAAACTTGCCTACCACTTCAGATAGGTGGTTCACTCAATGCCTTATCATGAGTGACATTTCAGCCCCTTTTTGTGTAGTCAACAGATAGCAGTGTTAATAGGATAGCAATACTGTATGTTCAGCTATAAACACAACAAAGGAACAAAGGATACCTTAAAAACTAACAGGTTTATTGTAGTATGATTTTTTTTTATTGACAAGAGATTATTATATCAGATACATGAAACAGACAATGAATTGGTTGGATGATTGAGCTGTTGCTCGTTGTTAGCAATATGTAACACTTGAATAGGAACAAAAGCTGCTTTAAAACCTATGTGAACTGTAAAACTGTTTACAATAAAACATTTGTAAGTACATTGGAGTTTTCAGAAACAACACTTTTTTTTCTTGTGCTATTGGGGCTTTTTTCTGCTTTAGTTACAAGTCAGCATCCTTTTCTCTTTTGTTATAAAAAGTTTGTAGTGCTGTCCTTTTGTAGTTAGGGACAAAATAAAGAAACAGAAATCCTCAAACAAACTATGCTACCGTTTGCTGAAGAGTTGAGCAACTTTATAATGACCTTGGAGCCAACATGATATTAATAGATAAAACGTTAACATCTGAAAATATTACAGAATCATGAAGATGCATTTCCCCATCTGCATTGTTATGTGGCTTGGTGTCCAGCTGAATTGATCAGAAACAGCTAAAACCACATACAATCAGAATAGCCTGTGCCATTTCAGTGTCTGTAGGTGGATACCTGTTGCTCTGTTATTAGGAAATGAGCAGTGCTTATACATCACAAAATCAGCCTGTAAGGGAGAAATACTATAGACAGCCTTCTTACTAACTGGCTTTGTATGTGCAAGGAACACCCCCCCCCCCCCCCCAATTTAGCTGAGGAAAGACACCAGTACACCATTCTCCATCTTGAGTTTGAAATGGTACAAAGGTGCCCAAACAAACATATCTGTTGGCTTAGAGTGGGCCATAGTTAACACTCTAATGGCATATGAAATATTTTAAATGATATCTCTGTTGAGGAAATATTGTACTTGGGGAAATTATTAGTAGATATCTCTGAGTTAAATAATGTCAAGTTTTGTAATTGTAGGACATTTTTGTTGTTTCTTAAAGTAAGAATAGCACAACTTTTTAAAAACAGAACTTTAGCTGCTTATTCTGCTGAAGGAGCTTGTGGTTGGCAAGATCTTCATGCCTGAGCTGCTCCCTCCATAGCTGTATCCTCCACTAGCGATGTTGCCTGAACCACTCAGGCTGCCTCCACTGCTAAACCGGCTGATTTTTCCTCCACCAGTACTAATGTGTCCACTGCCACTTCCTCCACCAAGGCGTATTCCACTTCCTCCTCCTACACCATAGCCGCCTCCCCCTCCACCAAGGCTCAGTCCGCTTCCCCCTTCTAGACCATATCCCCCTCCCCCTCCACCAAGGCTCATTCCACTTCCTCCTCCAATGCCGTATCCACTTCCTCCTCCAACACTGTATCCGCCTCCTCCACCGCCACCACTGATGGTGCTGGAACTGCTGATCACAGCTGTAGGAATGGAAAAGTTGGTTAAGATATCTTTTCTGTCTCTCAAGCATTAAGGTAACTTTCCAAATAATCTGAATAGTGAAAGTGTTATACTTACAGATGTTTACAGGGGTTGGGCATTCACCTGACATCCTATAATAGGGGAAGGAGAAACGCCATGTTGAAATAAGAGCAGTTCTTGACATACCAGCCAAATACCTTTCTTTGTTATAGGAATTTATCTAACTGACAGCAAAGTGAGCTTGATCAGATATATCTGCCCCTCCAAGAACACTTCTTTAATTATTCCTTACACGGGTTGTTGTAATTTTTTTTTTTTTTGGCTATATGGCCATGTTCTAGAGGCATTCTCTCCTGATGTTTCACCTGCATCTATGGTAAGCATCCTCAGAGGTTGTGACCTCATGGCCATATAGCCCAAAAAAACCTACAACAACCCAGTGATTCCAGCCATGAAAGCCTTCGACAATACATTCCTTACATGCTATCTTAAAGGCATGGAAAATGAGATTGAGAAGGAATCATGATAAAATGAGAATAAGGACTTCAGCACATTGATTAGGGGCAACGGGGTGATTCACCAGCCTCCATGGTGAATTCTGCAGGGCAATCGTGTTGTCCCACACTCTGCCTCGTCCACAGCTGTGCTTTCCCATCATACATGAGGAACATCACCATGCTGCTTCTCCCCCACACTGACCCCATTGTTCCCAATGGAACACGGGAAACCTCCTGTGTTGTAGGCAAAGTGTTGTAGGACACTTGCACCACAGTTGATCAGGAGCCCCATCAGAGTGTGCATTGTGCAATGAGTGGCATGGGGCTCTACCAGTATGATGAAGTTGTATGTTAGGCATACAACTAAAATTCTGTAGATCGCATCAAACTCAGAAAGATATAATATGCCCTGTATTGCCTACGTTTATGGTATTCCCTTCCAAGGGCATTTTACCATCAATTCTGGCCTTGAGAATCCATTTATTTTATGTTGCTTTTAATTGGCTGGCCGTTCTTGCTGAAGGAACTCTCCACAATCCTAGCAAAACTTACAAGTCAATGATGGGTGAGTAATGTTTTGATCAGAATAAGCAGTCGTATTTGAAATGTCATACCCCATGCTAACCCAAAAAGAAAAAAAAATGCACTTGGCTACCTGTTCTCTCAGATATGTCCAATTTCCTGGTCTGTACTTACCTGCTCTCCTCCCCCTCCAGCAGGGTCCTGTAAGTTGCAATCTCTACATCCAAAGCCAACTTCACATTCATCAGTTCCTGGTAGTCACGCAGTAGACGAGCCAGTTCATCCTTTGAGGCTGTTAAGGCGGTCTGCAAGTCAAGCAGCTTTTTCTGAGCATCTTTGAGGGCTATCTCTCCACGTTGTTCAGATTCTGCAATGGATGACTGCAGACCATTAACCTGAAACAGGAAAGGAGAAATGTCTCTCGTAGTTAATCTGGCCTTTAAGAACAAGGCTTAGCTTCCTACTTCTTTCTGTAAATACTATCTCACAGAAAAGAGACACGATCTTCCACGTGGCTGAAACCCCAAGCAACTTTGTGAGCTCTTCCAAATGAAGATAATTTGATGGCAGATGTTTCTTTCAAATACATTTTTCTTTCAAGGGACTTTTATTTTCAGTATAATGGGCAACCTTCTATACTTGTACTCAAATATGAGAGCCAACATGGTATAGTGACTTGAGTGTTGGACTAAGACACTGAAAGACCAGAATCAGAATTCTCATTCATTCATGGAAAATCACTGGGTGATTTTGAGCAAGTCACTCTCTCAACCAGTGAAAGAAAACAGGAAACTTCATCTGAAGAAATATTTGCTGAGAAAATCCATGCCGAAAATTACTATAAATGAAAGCACATAACAACTCAAGTCTTGCCCTCTCAGTGGATGGTTTACTATAGATGTTCCACACAGAGCTTATAAACATTAATTTTGAAGAGGCCTATCCTTAGAATCCTGAACCATCAGGGTGATTGTTGCTTGGAAGATTCTGGGATAAAAGCCTAAAAGTAACTATTCTACACACTGATCTAAGAATAGATCCTGAGCAATTAGCCACTTTATTTTCAAAGTGCCCTTTTGTTCTGACATTGCTGCTTTCATTGATTTTTGCATTGCCTTCTTGTAGCTAATGATGCAATTGTACTTTTCATGGAATGAGGTCAAAGGGATGACAGTACTTTTATTGCTGGTAGTAGCACTTTTGTCATACCTGGAACTGACATAGTCTGGATGAAGAAGCAATGAAGTCAAACAAATACTAAGAAAAGACATGTTCAATGCTTGATTCTCCTGATATTCCGTTGACTGGGCAACCTCATCCATACCACAGAAACTAAATTCTATACTCCAGTTCCACATCCACATTCTTGGGTCCTGGAGAACCTTCAGTATAACCACATTTTGTGTAGTAAGAGCATTGCAGGTGTCTAGCCTACTTTATCAGATTAAGAACTGGTTGTTCAGATTCCAGGTATATATGCAGTACATATGATTGAGAACTGTAGAGAATGAAATCATATGAAAAATAAATGTAGAAAGGGGGTCTTGGAAATATCTCCTCCATAAGGTCATCGGAAGTTGAAACCAACTTGATGCTAAACAACAAAAAAACCTTACAGTGACATTTATATTATAATGTTAAAAAATAATCATAATGGGTTTTTTTCCCCTGTCAGGAGTGACTTTAGAAACTGCACATTTGCTTCTGGTGTGAGAATCAGCCGTCATTAAGGACATTACCCAGGGGATGCCCAGATGTTTTGATGTTTTACCATCCTTGTGGGAGGCTTCTCTCATATCCCTGCATGGGGATGTAGAGCTCACAGAGGAAGCTCATTCACACTCTCCCTGGATTCAAACCTCTAACCTGTCAGTCTTCAGTCCTGCCAGCACAATTGTGCCACTGGGTGCTCCTAATCATAATGGTGAAACCCCTCATAGTTGTCTCGGTGAACTGATTGCCCTAGAATAGTTACACCCTAGTGGTAAGAAAACAAAATGCTGTGTCTTACCGCTTTCTTCACTATTTCAATTTCTGCACGAAGTTTGTGGACAATCCGACTCATCTCTGCAATGTCATCTTTGGTGGTTTTCAGTTCATCACAGTGTTTCTGAGCTGTGGTTTGAAGTTCTTGATACTGGAACAAAGCAAAGCAACAGTCACTATATCTCTCCCAATAACAAAAACAAATGAGAGAGAGAGAGAGAGAGAGAGAGATCAAGGAATTGTTTGGTGTCAGATTAGGTACTTGTTAGCTTCAGATTATAAAGTGACAGAAGATGAAGCCAGAAAAGTATTATATCAGTTATCTTTGACAAATTATCCATTTCATTTTCCAAAACATTAAGGAATGAGTTGCACTGTCTAAGACAAGAAAATTTATGCAGATGAAATTAAGGGATTGGGAGACAGTGAACTCATTTTTCAATGCCAATGTGAATTCCTAAACCGTGGAAGATTTCCATTTTAAATTTAGGGGAGTTTTTCTTTGAATGCCAATGAAAAGTGTCCACCAGTTGTTGAAGAGACTCTCACCTTGCTTTGATACCAAGTTTCTGCCTCATTTCTGCTTCTGTTGGCAATATCTTCATATTGGGCTCTGACTTCAGCGATGATGCCATTGAGATCCAGATCTCGATTGTTGTCCATTTGTAGAACAACATTGGTATCTCTAACCTGGGATTGGACCTGAGACAATTCCTGTGGGAATGATAATGATTTCATTTATCAGTTTAGGATGGAAGGAGCATTTTAGTGCACATGATAAATATGGATTTTGCTGTAGAGTCCTGGCTGCATCTATAATAACTTAGGGAATTACACATGGCCCACAGATCACATCCAATATTACTAGTCAACATTGGGAAAAGAAAACCACCAGTTTATTGTACTAAAATACATACATTACAATGTCTGTGGGATGCCCACCATATATGCTGAAATGCCACATTGGTCACACATTGGATTATGTTTTAATCAGCAGATCTGTTGCCCATATCAAAACCCATGGATATTGTTTTTTGAAGATGGTACAAAAATGTGGTGCCAATCAGATAAAAGAGGAATGAAAGGATCCTTACTGTCTCAAAGAGTGCTCTTAAGAACTGAATGTGTTGAGTCAAGGAATCAGCCTTGGATCCCAGATCTATCTTGTGCATGTAGGAGCCATCCACATCCTGGGGAAGAAACATAAGATCACTATTTAGCAAAAGGTTACTGTTACTATTGAGTAGAATATATCCACATTACAGTTCGGTGTAGACTATACATTTTGATGATAGACAATGAACAAATAATAATGAAACTAAATAAAGTGGAAATGCCTTACAAGTGAGTGCAAGAATAATGTTCTTTGTGAAAACATACTTGCAAATTTATTAAAATAAACAACGACTTAACAGTCTAAAACATTTTTATTTGGATATGAGAAACTTTCTAGATTACAGAGGTGTAAAATTTTGTTTCGCTCCTAACATGAACTGCTGTGTAAATGCAATGGCAAAAACTATCTTCTGTATGCTTGTTGTTGTGACAGTGAATGTTAGAAATAAAAGATTGTTGATATTTGTTGTTACTCTTATACTACATAGATACATGTTTTTGGATCACAGTCCATGTGAAATAAGAGTAATCATTCCATCCTCAGTTTTTCTAAAATAATTTGCCAAAACCCACTTTTCACTCTCTCTTTCACTTTGCTGCCTTCATTTTATAGGCCTGGTAACTGCCTGGCAAAGCTTTCTGATTTATTTCCATTTTATGGCAGCCACCCAGAGCAAGTTTTTGGGAGTTTTGGGGCAACGTAGTGGAGACAGGGATTGACACCTCTGCTTCCACTGCACCTCTTCTCGAAGCAGAAGTCTAGTACAGGATACAGCCCAGTGGTACTTACTTTTTTGAGCACCACAAAGTCATTTTCACAAGCTGTACGTTTGTTAATTTCATCCTCGTACCTGTTAAAAGTATAACATTGTTATTTGTATGCTTTCACTTTTTTCTACATGATGTTGACAATTGGAATTTTGAACCATCAGTGATTCAGACTTATCACCTCATCAGATGGCCGGCGACAGAAGGAGGTGGCGGTGTACTCCACCGCAAAGCATGGGGGAAAAGGAGCCCAACATCTTGCATCATCCGCATCACCTGCCTCACTGGGAGGGCAATCACATGGGGGGAAGCATGGAGCACATGTGGTGCACGCACCTTCCCCCCATAGATTGAGCAACACAGGAAGCCTCCTATGTTGCCAGGACAGTGGCGGCACACCAGTTTCACCCCTCTGCACCCACAGAGCTGGCATGATGTCATTTGATAAGAACTAGCCCCATATGATGAGGCTGTCTACCTAACAATTTGGCATTATTGCACCAAAAACACTTTATACACAGGGAAAGCATTTTTTGCACTGAAATCTGCACATAAAGTTTGAGCACAATAAATCCCAGTCTGCAGCATTTTCTGTCCCAGAAATGGTATTTTCAGTACAGAATAGGATTCAGGCCTCCAACATTATCATTACTGACATATTTTACACTACTCAGTGTATATATCTTCATCATAAACTTTTAGAAAGCCCACAAGCTTGGCAGAGGTTACTGCTTCAAGCCTATTTGCTACCTATAGCAAATAGGCTTGAAGCCTATTTGGATTTTATAGTACACTAGCTATGAACTAGAGAATACCACACACCATACATAAACAATAGCACGGACCAACAGATTAAACTGCAGGAAAATAGATTCCACCTAAGCATTAGGGGGAAAAAATCCTGATGGTAAGAACTATTCAGCAGAAGAATGGGCTGCCTTGAAGTTCAATGGAGTCTTTGGCCCCTTTTATAGTGTCATATAATCCGGACTATCAAAGTAGATAATCCACATTATCTACTTTGAACTGGATTATCTGAGTCTACATGCAATATAATCCAGTTCGAAGCAGAGAATGTAGATTTTATATGGCAGTCTAGATGGGGTCTTAGTCTGTGGCCCAGTCATATGCATGTTACTTGAACTGTATTTAATGGGACTTATTCATATTAAAAAGTAAAGATTCAGTTGTAGCAGCTTCAGTACCTGAAAAAAGGGTTGATCAATGGTTTTTTTCTTAGATACTTTTGTAGAAGGTGAGTCTGATATTATCCAGCTTCAAAAATAGCTACTTGTGAAATTTATTCACTTTACAATTCAAGCTAAAATTCAGAAATTAATAATTCCTAAGCCTAAATATTAACCAGAATGCATTTATATTTCAAAATTGGAAGTCTGTAATGTAGTTGATAAAAAGTACATACTTCCACAACATTTCATACATTTGATAAAAGTGGGCACAAAAAGGAGTCAAATGAAAATATGTGCATTATAAACAGTGCACAAAATGCTCACCTGAAAAAGTGTACAAAATATATTTATGGGAAGGGGGAGGAATGTTGAATGAAAAATGCATAAACTTTCATGCAGACAGAAACAATTATATGCAGTAAACAGACTTCCTGCATATAAAACAGCATTTTTGTACAGATAATAACATTCCTGTTCAGAATAATCCTCATTCTACACAAATAGTTGTGTGGAGTTTTGTTTTGTTTGTTGTTGTTGTTGTTGTTGTTGTTGTTGTTTTTATAAAACAATAGTTCCCAAAAACAAATTGTCTTCAAATACTGCACAGTTTTCAACATTTTTTTCCATTGAAGAAAACAATGGTAATTTTATTTCTTCCCTAAAGGAACACAATGTATATCACTCTGTATCTCCATTGTGAATAGACTTGTTCTCTACCAAGAATATTTCAATGCACTTAACTTCCATGGTAAATCTATTCTGGATTTTATACTGAACATTACAGAACTCTGTCCTCAAAATAAGTTCATCACCTTTAACGAAATGTAATAGTTAAAGCAATGACTCCTTTAAAGTTCACACTCAAATCCAAAATAGGTTCACTGAAGCACTGACATGGTGACTACCAGTCATTATTGTGGTGGAATTAAAGTCTTCTCTTTCAGTCATGGGTGAGAGTGAAGTAGTATTTTAGCATGGGTGTATAAATTGTAAACAACATTAGTGCCTATTCACTGAAGCAGGACAAGACTTCATGGTGAACATTAAAAACTTTGAAATGCATGTTCAATCAATTGGTTGTACCTCTTGACCCAGTATTCAATAACTACCAGGACCATGCAGGGACACTCCATCAAAAGACTTCTGATAGATGGTTTGGCAGAATCTCTCTTCCTGGAGTATCCTCTATCTGGGATTAACCAGATAGGATTCTAGCATTAAAAAGCTATCTAAAGAGAAGAGATGGCTTTTTCAAAAGAATCATGGGAGGCTGCAGCAGACTCAACTGAATATCAGCTTGAAGGCTTAGAGATGAGTTGATAGAAGGAGCTGATCTTCAACAAATGAAGCACAATAAGGGCAGGATTTATGAGGGGCATCAAAGACATTGAGAATGTAAAAGGAAGTACAGAAGGCAGTGCCTAACATAGTGCAGACCAAACATCTAGAAGGAAAGCTAATAGCTTTTCAGGGATGCTCTGAATCAAGTGAAGTGGAAGAAGGAAATTAGTAATGAGAACATCAACAAGTGGCAGTAAGAAAACAACAACAACAACCATGAAGATGTTTAAAAGGAGTATGAATAAAACTGGCCAGAACAAGTAATGTCATTATTTTGCCTTCTTTTGGGTGAAGTCTGATGTCTGATGTCTCCCAGCTACCATGCACATATCTACCTTTTACTACACTTAATCTTAACAAAAAGGCAGAGAAGCATACTTTTTACTTACTTGCTCTTGAAATCCTCAACCAGCTCTTGTGTGTTCTTCAATTCTATATCCAGGTGATTCTTGTCATTGGTGAGGCTCTCAAACTGCCTTCGAAGGGTGTCAATGTAAGCTTCATAAAGTGGCTCCAGATTGTCTCTCAGAGCTGGAGTTCCCTGCTGGTATAGCAAGTCCCACTTGGTCTCCAATACTTTGTTCTGTTGCTCAAGGAATCTCACCTGAAACATGACAAAGGAGGGGGGGGGCAAAGGAAAGGAGACATCTGTTTATCTTTCTTGAAGATCGTTTGTGATCTCATGTCAAGATATTCTCATAATGTATGTTTTTATATGGTATAGTCTTTTGATAGGACTCTATCATCATGGGTAAATCTTTCCCATCCCTCTGCAGCAGGTTTTCGTGGGTCACATTTGACTGAAGGGAAAGGAAGGAATTTGGAAAGATTGACCTGTTCTAAGGAACTCATCACATTGCAGTCCAATTTGCGAGTGATAGCAGGGTGATTCACCAGACAGCCTAGTGGATCCATGGGGCAGCAGGGAAAACCATCACCCCATGCCCCACATTGGTGCTTTCCCCATCCCACAAAGTAAAGCATCACCACCCAGCTTACCTCTGTTCATCTCAATGAGAATACAGGAACCCTCTCATGTTCTTTGGGCAGCATGCTTGGGGGATGCTGGGAGGACAGATTCCTGCTGGAAGTTGCTGTGCATCATCCGATGGGATCTGGCAAGCTCCATCCTCTCAGCATCCTCCAAGTGCCCTAGGATACTAAAATTCTGTAATGTGGTTAAGTCCTTAGTACCAACTGAGAAGAAATAATCACTGCAATTGAATGATATGTTGTCTCACCTTTCTGCCAGGAACCAGCTTCCACACCTTGGGGTTTGGCGCTGGAACCTGGGATCCTGACGTAGGACATTGACCTTGAAAGACAACGGCTTGTAGCTTGGCAGGAATGTTGCACAGGGTTTTGACTTGGCGGGAAATGTACTTTCAAATGGGAGGGGGGGGTGTTGGCTTTTCACATGTCCATGCATCTAGTAGTAAAGTTTCTCATTGATACCAGAGCACATTCCTGTGTCTTCATTGGGAGCAGCTGCTGTGAGCTGACACCTTTCAGTAATCAATATAATAGGTCTACTCTAGCTAGAACTCACCAACAGGATTCTAGTCATTGCTTCCACCACTGTTCAACCAGCAGAGAAATTCCACAATACCAAAAGATTTTGATGATCAAAGGAAATTCTTTCCATCTTTGGAAAGATTTTTCTGGGTCCGTTCATCTAATATGATGCATTTGGTCTGGTACCACATTCCTTAACTTATTGGCAGGGAAGGTAGAGGAAAAGCAAAATATTTGTTTCTTATTTTTCACAAAAATGCCCATAAAGCTCATCAGTCTTCTTTTTTCTTTTTTTTTCTGGCGTTTTTTGAAATGCATCTTGCAAGGGAGACAGGAACTGCCTGCACACACCCTCCTCCCTCAGAATATCTCAGATACTAACTAAATAACAAATCCGCTTGTTCAGGGAGGTAGCTATGTCATGATAGCAAAAACAACTAAGAGGTTAACAGTACTTTGAGGTGTACACTTTTATTCAGAAGAGTTTAAGGATAATAGCACATGTCTTTTGATGCAATTAATTTGGTTTAACATGTCTATTATTTCATAACAAATCAGCACAAGGTACCATCTGATCTTATAATCTAATCAGGGCCAGATCTGGTTCGTGCTTGAATGGGAGACAATTTGTAAGGAAGTAACTGGCAAGCCATCTTTGAGTATTCTTTTCTTAAGAATTCCCTATGAAATTCACGGGTTCATCCTAAGTCTGCAAGTTATTTGAAGGCATGTACACAACAAGCTCCTAACAATTTTATGTTTCTGGCAAGCACCACATCAAATGAAAGTTTTGAATTTAGTATAGCACTTTAGTTGCTGTTTTGAGGACTAAGATGGTAGCTGAGGAGCGAAGCAGAAAGAAACGTTGAGAACTAGTTTGGTCCCATCTATACTGCCATTGTAATGCAGATGGAAGATTTTGGATTATATGGAGACTATGGACCCTTCTAGACAGGACAGAAACCTGGAAGGAAGCAGGTTAAGATAACCGACCTCCTCCTCGGTTTCTGTCCCCACCCCCAACCCAAACTGGGGGTTTCCTTTGAAGGATGGCATCCAGACCCCTCGAGCCACCCATGGTATCTTTAAAAGGTCTCTCTGACAGGAGGAAACAAACTAGTGATAAATCTTCTAGCACATTTGTATAGGACGATAATTTGGAACTGGTATTATGTATCATACAGCATAAAGCTTGGGGAAAATTTTCCTGTTCTTGGCTTGTCTCTGGGTCTTGGATCCTTATACCCTCTGGCCGGCCTTCCATTTTATTAGCTGGACCTGAGTTCAAAGATTCCTTTCAATTGCTATGGTCCCCATCCCCCTAGAAATCTGGGGGTTCTGGTCTGCTTTCAGACAAATGGCCTCATCACATTGAGGTCCTTAATGTGGGGAACAACAGGAGGACCTGTAGAGCAGTGAGGAAAATCATGGGGCAGCAGGGCAAATCTGTCACCCAGCATCCCACATCACCTGGACCACCTACTTGCCCATCACACACTGGAAAACATAGCTTTCTTGAGTAACCCTACTTTGTTCCCATGGTTCTCTACCTAAACATGAGTAGTCTCTCATATTCAGTTTTCCCCCTCCTTTCACACTACTTAACTCAGCTGACATGGAGTCCCACTGGAAGTAGATGTGCATCATGGAATGAGAGCTGATGGACTCCGTGCAGGCTGCATTGAGGAAATGTCATAAGATGGGGACCTCATCTAATGTGATGAGGTCCCAAATTGCTCCCCTCATGTGACTTTGTTATCACCAAAAAACAGAAAGGCAACAGTCAATAAAGATACCCTACTTTATCCTATTTCTTATGTCTGATCTTTTTATTCCTTGGGATGGTCAGCAAACAGATATACATGCACGTGTGTACATATATATTTACTTAAACACATAAACACACGTACCTACTTTTATAGTATTAAAACCTTAATAATGTAGCCCCTATAAAGCTACAATCCCCATGAAATATGCATTACTCCTATTGCTGTAATATACATCTTGCTTTATTTAACAGTAGCTAAGGTAGCTAAGGCAGAGAGGCACTTTTGTTGGGTGCTGGGAGATCTGTGTAAGGTCTACACAATAATGAAGGTGTAGTTTTATTTTACTGGGAAATCAAAAGATAGTAATAATTTTGTTGGGAGAAAGTGCTCATTATGACAATATGAATTTGACTTGCCTTTGTTTTGGGAGTGGGCATGATCTCAATAATAGGATATCTGAAGTAGGAGGGAGCAGTTGTTATGCTTTGTTTTCACTTTAGTGGCTAGACTGTGTTCACTAGAGTGTCTTCTATCAAGAATAGAAACATATTCAATACTCAAATAATTAAATTTCCAAATTATTCCAGAATACAGACTTTAGACCATGGGAACCACATGTATATTGTTACTCAGCCATAGGCATTCTGGGTGGCCCTGGGCAAAGGACTCTCTTTCTCACGGCTTCACCTCCTTCATCTGCAAAGCCAGCATTATAGTAATAAACAACTTGGCCTCAAGGAATGTTGTAACAATTTACGAGATAATGATTTTAAATCTTGGCACAAGAGTACAGTTCAGTTGCCAGACAATTCTCTAGTAGCTAGACATTGGAAAAGTTACCTGCTTATATTCCATACTAGTTAAAGACAATTACTATTCTAACTTCTGCTCCCAAGATTTGAGGATCTTGATTGCCAAGTTGAATAGCCATCTTTTAGGAGTGCTTAGTTATATATATTTTATGACTGGGGATTGAACCAAATAGCCCTTCCAACGTTATGATTTTAAGGGTGCATCTCCACCGTAGAATTAATACTTTTTGAAATCACTAACATCCATGGCTGAATACTATGAGAGTTGTAGTTTTACAAGATATTCAGCCTTCTCTGTCAAAGAGTGTTGATGCTGCAGTAAACTACAATTCCATAGCACCCTAAATTACTGGGAGAGAGCAAATTATTGTTCACAAAACTGGACAGTGGACCTCTGTGTTATTTGTGGGAGAAGACTGGTGCTAAAAATCAAAGATATAGCCACCACCCTGTAACTTGTTAAGGACCAAGGTGACAGTGTCCATGGATATTACTTTCTATTTTTGTATCCAAAATTGTGAAAGTGCATCCATTCCTTGAAGAAGAAGAAGAAGAAGAAGAAGAAGAAGAAGAAGAAGGTTGTGTCTAAAATACAACCTAGGCTCACCATTCCTGTTCAGAGATGTCCATGTTTTAAGGGTCAATGGAAGGAGTGATCTTTATCCATATCATGGATGAGTGAGCACAGAGCACTGAAAATCTGCACATAGATGTCCAACCACCACCAAGTTCTCATATGATAAGGTGAAGCCCAAAGCTTTTGTAGAGTTGACACATGCCCTCAGTTGGACACAACTAACAGATATGTCTTGCCAGACAGGGCTACTGTTTGGCTTTCCATGTGGTATCAAGAACCTGGATGGGATTTCATTAATTGAAGAGTTGTGGTCTATAAACAAGAAACAGAAGTTCTTATAGATCTTATGAAAGATCCTGTTTGATTTTTAGGAACCCTTAAGACATATTTCACATTTGTGTGGCTAAATCACATCCCAATTTTCTCAGGGATCAAGTCTTAGGTGACAGTATAGTATCTACAACAGTATACCGGAGTTTGAGGGTACCCATCATTGTCATGGTAAAATAACTCCATCTGTTTATTCATTTTTATGGTTATTTTAACAAGTTTGTTGAAAAGCCAATGAAGGAAATGGCCCTGAGAACTATATATTCATAGCATATGAATATGAAAACCTAACTTCCACTTTTATCCATCAATCATTTCATTTCCACTATACATGCACATACCTGACTCCAGTCATACATACATGCAGGTTTGTTTCTCCTCTGTCAAAAAGACAGTGGAGTAAAACACAATCCTGTGTAGGCCCATTCAGAAAAAATATCTCACTGAGTTGAATGGAATTTTTCTCAGGTACATCTTTCCCCATTTTCTTATTCTGAATAACATCAGAGTTATTTTGTTCACCTCTTTCTGCTCAGTATGAATATTTATTCTGGGTGCATCTACACTGCAGAATACAGGCAGTCTGATACCACTTTAACTGCCATGGCTCAATGCTATAGAATCGTGGGATCTGTAGTTTGGTGAGGCACTGGCACTCTTTGGCACTGAAGGCTAAAGTCTTGTAAAACTGCAACTCCCAGGATGCCATAGCATTGAGCCATAACAGTTAAAATGTCATTGTTTCCTTCTCTAGAGTAAATATATTACCTGATAGAAGAAACAGGTGATTTTTCCTATTTCCCCCTGTCTCCAAGGCTATGTATATTATTCTTTCTGTTAGCCAGTGAATCCTGCCTTCCTTAGGCAAAACTTCAGGACATGGCATCCTCTATCAGCACCTCCTTTTTAAATAATTTATAGTGTTTGTACTATAAATATGCACATATGTTTGTACCATAGATATGAATCATACACAGCCTGTGTTGATAACTTTTCATAAGAAAGAAAGATTCTGCACCTAGCAACTAGAATTGCAACCTATGGCTTTTCTTAAATTGACATTCCTAACATGTATTGTAAGCTTTGCAGATGAAGTGCAAAAGCTGAGAGATGTTATGCTAATCAAAAATGCAAAGAGCTACTTTAAGCTTGATAGATACACATCTTCTCTATCACCAATTCTTTTAGAATCTCCCTGGCATTTCAACAATTTGGCTTGTGATAGGGTTTGCAAAGACAAGAAGGAAGATTGTTGGAGAAGAACAACTAGCCACCATGATCACACAGTATGGCCTGCATCTTTCTTAGCAACCAGCCCCCTGAATTTAACCAACAGACACTTATCATTACAGCTATAAAAATAATCCAAGATGTAAAAACAACTCTAGCTCTCAAAAATACACACTTAAAAAGCTACATCTGAAATGGTTCCAGTTTCAAAACCTGAAGTTCCAAAACTTGCTGTAATCATGAATTCACAACATTTAATTTCTGTTCCATCTGGAAATAATTTGAGGTGTCACCTGTTTAAAAACAACTTGCACTGCCTTTACAAAAGGATTTTGAGAAGACAAAAAAGAAAAGGGAAGACCAGGGATGACTTTGTTACAGCTCTCGTTTTACCCAGAAGGCTTAGCTCTTGCACAAATCTTAATGCCTAGCAGGACTATATATTCAGCTGCATCTCATGAACATTAGGGAGAGAATCATATTTTTCAGGAGGAATTTTGGCTGCAAATCATTTGCTCTGGAGCAGAATATCTATGTTCTTGGAGGTCAAATGCTTTGTGGGTTATCACCATATCCCTGTCTGTCAGGTGTGGGGAAATTATGTGGTCCTCCAGGTGTTGGTGGATTGAAACTCCTATCATCTCTCACAATTAGTCCTGGCATTTGGGGATTTAATTGTGGAGGACCACAATGTACCCAGTCTTGTTTTAAGTAAATAAATACAACTGCCTTGCTAGTTAGATGTGTGCCTGAGAAGTTACCCAGATTGCTTCACTGTTCTGAGCAGGGTTGCCATCTGCTTTCTACTGATGGGCATCTCATCTTTAACGCTTGTATCACAGGCCAATACAAGCAATTTATTTATTCATTGAAATAACCTAATGGATTTGCCTGATGGAAAACAGGGAGAATTTCATTTCAGATAATGCTTGAAGAATTGACTAAAATCTGCAAATATCATATCCAAAAGAGAGGAAAAGTTTGAACATCCCAGTGTGAGAGAAAATGAAACTAACAAATATCCTTCCACCTACATGTGCCTGAACATGGTGATAAGACATCACACTAAAACCTGAGACATCCAGATGGGCAGCCTTAAGAGTTCACAGATGATTGGTAATTCCTTTAAGCTTTTGAGAAATCTACCAATGAATAGAATCATGGAGTTGGAAAGCTACCAATCAGCCATCTCCTCCAAACCATTGTCCACAGACAAAAGATCATTCCAATACTTTTAACATCCTAGACATTAGAAATGGGGGGGGGGGGGAATCTGCAGGATTCAACTGTCTTGAAAAAGCATCCTTGAGATTTGCTACAAGAAAAAAATGTATATCAATCTTTCAAGACTCAGTACATTTGCCAGGCTGATAGGACATTTCAGAAAATAACGCATTGTCAAATGTGTTGACAAATGTGAATATACAATTTTTTAAAATATGCACTAGCATATTTTTGGGAATGGGAAAAATGCAAGCATTTGAAAACATATGTATATGAATTTCAGCACAGGAACAAAAAAGAGAGTCTTGCAACCAGTATGAACTAAGGATGAAAGCAGGATTCAGAGAAGCACAACTTTTCAGGTTTTTCTGTCCATATTTGACATGTGTCTGTTCCATCTTATTTGAACATCTTCCAAACAAATGGGGACTGCTGTGTAAGCTTCCCAAAAGCAACCGCTTCCATCAGTTAAGTTTCACTTCTAAACTTCTTCCTAACATCTAGCCATCATGTAAAGTCCTAGATTGAATAGTATGAATTCAACCACTTAAACCAAAAGCAACATCATTTATTTTTTTAAAAAAAATGCAGCTATAATTAAATCACTTTTGTCCTCCTTTTCTGCTCTATCACCTATTTATTGTTCCTCCTCCAGACCAATATTTTCTCTATCCCATCTTACCTTGTCAATGAAAGTGGCAAATTTGTTGTTGAGGGTCTTGATTTGTTCTCGCTCCTGCGTCCGGACCCTCTGAATATCTGGATCAACCTCCACACGCAGAGGAGCCAGTAGATTCTTGTTAACAACAACATTATGGATGCGTCCTGGTGCTGGTAAGGAACCTGGGCCTGAAGGGCCATATCCTCCACCACCAAAACTTCCAGCAGGACCAACCTGTCCAACACCACTTCCAAGGGCAATGCCACCTCCTAAGCATGCACCACCACCAAAGCCTACCCCACTTCCTAGACCTCCATAACTTGTGCTAAAACTGCTGAATCCTAGACCACTGCCAAGGTTTCTTCCACAGACACCACCTGCAAAGTAACCTCCACCTCCTCCACCACCTGAAACTATGCCCATGGATATCCTCTTGCTTCCACCGAGGCTGTGAAGACTTCTGCTGCCAAAGCCACCAGAGAAAGCTCCCACTCCTCCGACTGGAACCATGGAAGTTGAGCCATTGCACACCCTGAATCCACTGCCTGAAACAGGATATCCCCTTCTTCCACTCGTGGAAAAAGATCTGGAACTAAATTGCCGGCTCATTGTGGCTCCTTGAGAAAAGTAGATAAGGATGGCAAAGTTATGGAACAAGAAGGGAAGAGTAGAGGTTGGAGGAGGTTGAGAGTCCCCTGTGATGTGGGACTGGGTGACTTCTCCTTATATGTGTTTGAGGTGCTGGGTTTGGTTGCATGAGAATGCAAAGATTAAGGCAGAATGTTTCATCAAGGGCTTGGCTTGCCTTCAAGCAATGAGTTCTCCAGTAACGGCTCAACCCCAGCAGCAAATGCGCAACACACCTATTACATTACTTTCATTTTGTCAAAATTGCTGGCTTTGCAATCCTTCTTGTTTGCATCTCTTTCATGTTATCCACTACCAGGCTTACCTTTTTCAAATGGGGTTAATCCTAGATGCTTACAAGACAGGATAACATGAGGGGATATATTCCTGAACCAATCCGTAGTGTCATGTAGAAAGAGAAACCTAGTGTGCAATTATACTTTTCACACATTTAGAATGAGACCTCCCTGCCATGAGCCAAGTAGAAGAAGAGACCCAGGCTTCATCTACATTGGCCATTTATGCAATTCCAAGCCAGCTCAAAACTGTTGTGATCACAAAACACACAATGCCAATATGCACTGCAGCACTAATTAAAGGTTATACAGTACATTAAAGAAAGTAACAGGAAACTCTGAAGTCAGCCCTTTAATGTTCTGCAGTACATCCCTTGTTGTCCAGTTCTCAAGATGAAATCAGCTGTGCAGAATACAGAGTGTATTGTAGACACCCACCTTTGCTGATGCACTTTGTAAATTTCAGAACATAGGACAAAAGGACTGCCTGAAAATACCCCAAAGGCATGGCTGGCTAGCAGGGAGCCAATTGACCCCCTGAGAGGAGTAACCGGTTACCTACATTCCTGTTATTTTCCTTTTTTTTCACCTCCAATGCCTTTGAAACACTAGTGCACAATTCTCACAGAACTGAAATAACCACAGATCAGTTTGAGTCCAGGTTCCATGGTTAAGGTAAATCACCTTCCTGGCCTCAAATGAGTACCAGACCTGGAGGTCTGATGGTGCCCTTTAGATGTCTTAGCTTTCAGCTTCATTCAACGTGTCCAGTAATATGTTCAGAACAATGAAGTCAAAACACTTCATTATTGTAGTATGCCTTCAAGTCATTTTCAATGTATGGTGATCCTAAGGCAAGATTTTTTCTTGGCAAGATTTGTTCAGAGGGGAATTTGTCTCTGCTTTCCTCTGAGGCTGAGAAAGCATGAGTAGCCCAAGATCACCCCATGGGTTTCCACAGCCAAACAGGAATTTGAATTCTGGTCTCCAATCATAATCCAATACTCAAACCACAACCCCACATTGGCTCTAAAACACTTGGAGCAACTCAGTTGGAGGATAGCCACTTTGCATGTACAGTAAACTCTCCATTAATAAGAATGCTTTTGGATGCCGTGATTTTAATAACTGTTTTTAAATTGTGTTGTTTATGGGTGGGTTTTAATATAATTGTTATTATATTATCGATGTTTAATTTTATGCTATATGTCTAAATGTTCTTTTATGTTTATGTTTTAATTTGGTTAAGCCAATGTGGGGTTGTGGTTTGAGTATTAATTTATAGTTATTTTATTTATCGTGTCATCAGCAACAAGACATTTGTATTACATTTTTAACAAAAAAAATTACAGTTATATGTCTTGCTATTATCTTTCACATGTATTTACGGCATTGAATTTTTCCTTTATAATGTTGGAAACTGCTTTGAGTTCCCGTAGGGAAAGAAAAGTGGTATATAGGTGTAGTAAGTAAATAAATAAATGAATAACTAAATAAATGCAAGCAACCAAAATGCTCAAACAACTGGCAGAAAATAAAATAAATAATACTTTAATTTTTTTAAAAAATCATTTTAGTGGAAATTTTACACTAAGTTAAGTTTGTCTTCATTTGCTTTTAATTACTGCATTTTAATATTACTATCAAGTCAATACAGAGCTTGTGGTATGGTATACTATGAGGTATGGTTTTAAGCCTATTTTTAATTGTAACTTTCAAGCAACAAGAAACTACATCTGTCTGGCATCTAGCAAGCCCCTTGGGTGACAGTCAACTGAGAGTCTACTGTGTTGACATTCCATAAGCCAAGAATCATTTGACAAAAAATGCCAGGAGAGCCTTACATGCTTCTCTTCACAGTATAATATCACTGATACTTTAGCCTTACTTCTCTATAGATGTGACAGTCATCATCATCATCATATGGAAGACCTCAATTTTGTTAAAACTAAGTTTTAAATGGAAAGATCTGTATGATAAACAATTTCTTTTCCTGTTCCTTCTCTGGAATGAATTTAAAAACACATTTCTAAAACTGAATACAAATATAAAAAGAATTTCTTCCATTATTACAATACTTACTTTATAAGGGTGTGGCATAAAATCCCTTCTTTAGGCATGGTTCCTCATAGGGATCAATAGAGCTTGGTTCCCATCACCCTTGCTTAACATGGGTGATCACAGTGGCACCTGTACATGAATGCAGGGTGACCCAATCATTGGGCAGCCAAGGCAAGAGAACAGCAGCCCATTGTCTGTCCCTCCCAGATTCCCTGCTATTGTTGGAGGACAGTTGTGGATGCTGTTCAATCTGTTCTACCTCCCCTAAACTACTCATAATCCCTCAAGTACCATTTTTATTCAAGTATAAATTGACCTCCTGTATAAATCAAGGGCAGATTTTGTCACCAAAAATATTGATTTTGACCTGTGGATAAGCTGGTCATTCCATAGAAAGTGGGAGGCACCAGTTCTGTCTCAGAGTGGCAATAGCACCTTGCTGCTGCCACCATTTTCCCACCCAGGCATTTAAAAGGGCCAAAAGCATTACTGAGTTAGTGAGAGTAGAGAGAGGCCCCTTCTACACTGCCAAATAAAATCCATATTATCTGCTTTGAACTGGAATATATGGCAGTGTAGACTCATAGAATCCAGTTCCAAGCAGATAATGTGGATTTTCTGCTTTGATAATCTGGATTATATGGCAGTGTAGAAGGGGCTGGAGTTGACATGCCTTTTAGGTTTTCCCAGTGCAAAGTAACCTCTTACTTTTTGCCACCCAGAGAAGGGGGTGGTTCCTTTTTTGAAAAGAGTTATGCTACAGTACTTACATTGACCTGTAAATTGGTCAACTCAGGTTTTTGGAGTCAATTTTTGATTGATATTCCTAGAATTCTATATGAGTATATACAATGTATTGGAAGTCACAGTTCGATCCCCAGTGTTGAATAAAGAAGTAATACTGGTGCCCCTTTCACGCAGATGAATAAAATCACACATTATCTGCTTTGAACTAAGATATATGGCAGTGTGGACTCTGATATTCAAGTCCAAAGCGATATTGTGGGTTATTCTGCCTTGATATTCTGGGTTATGGCTGTGTGGAAGGGCTCTGTGTTGCCAGTACAGCAATATACTTTTCACAGAATGAGGAGGAATTATGCCTTATCCTCAATTGTCGTTGTTGTCATCATCACCATCATCATTATCATCATCATCACCATGATCATCATCATCATCATTTTACATACCTCTCCATTTGAATCAAGGTGGAACCACCACTCTAGGGGAATTGAATCCACCCTTGGTTTTGCCACTGCTTCTTCTGCAGCTTCTACTAGTTATTACAACAAATCCCCTCATGTTCTGCCCTATCCCTTCAGCACCCACAGGGCTCCCAGTCAACTTGGAGCAGATGTAGGTGAAGTAGTGCCATCATGAAGAGTAGATTTGTCACCCCTGTGGCAGTAGATCCATTGGCCACCCTGATGCTAAGGGAGTAGAGAGTGAAGAATTCAGAAGCCTGTGGGTATTTCACCAGCATAAAGAAAATCGCATGCTCCAGTTATTTCTTGCCATTGGGGATAAACATTTTTGGAGCAAAAAAATCTGAAAAATCTGGAATATGAAGTGAAATCCGATTTCTGCCTTTCCAAATCATGTATTGGTTTGGCTTTTGAACCCTTCTGCTTCTCCCAAATACTGGATGATTGCAAAAAGATATAGTCAGCTGACCATGGGATCAGGGCCGCCTGCTTCCAAAGCCATTCATCATGCTAGGTAAAGGTAAAGGTCGTCCCCTGACATTAAGTCCAGTCATGTCTGACTCTGGGGTGTGGTGCTCATCTCCATTTCTAAGCCAAAGAGCCAGCGTTGTCCGTAGACACCTCCAAGGTCATGTGGCCGGCATGACTGCATGGAGCGCCGTTACCTTCCCGCTGGAGCGGTACCTATTGATCTACTCACATTTGCATGTTTTCGAACTGCTAGGTTGGTAGAAGCTAGGGCTGACAGCGGAAGCTCACAGCGCTCCCCGGAATCGAACCTGCGACCTTTCGATCAACAAGCTCAGCAGCTCAGTGCTTTAACCCACTGCGCCACCGGGGGCTCCCTATTCATCATGCTACACAGTAAATAATGATAAATGCCAACCATATAGTTGGTCACTTGAATTCAACTTTTGCAGTGGTAGAATGGTCAACTTTGGGTGCATCTACACTGTAGAATGAATGCAGTTTGACAACACTACAATTGCTATGACTCAATGCTATGGGATCATTAAATTTCTAGTTTGGTGAGGCACAAGCACTCTTTGATTAAAAACTTAGTAAAACTACAGCTTCTGGGATTCCATAGTATTCAGCCATTGTGTTTGACAGTGTGGTCAGAATGCATTCATTCGACAGAGTAGATGCATCACGTGTGTCTTACAGTTTAATACTGTACCAAAAAGGAATAGTAAATTGTATTACGAGTATCCCTCAACTCTCAAATAACAAATTTTCTCTGCTTGTGGCTAGTATCCCTTTGTGGTGTGTTCTTTTTAAATTGAAGATGTACCATAATGTGTGTAAGATGTTTAAAAAGTGTTCCATGTCCCCAATAATATTTTTGCTCTCCTGCTATTTCTTCTTTCCTGGTAGCTCCTGCTTTCTCGGAAGAAATCTATTAAGAACTCTGGACAATACAGATCTACTTAGTTGTCAGCCCAGACTAATCCATTCCTTCATTGTGTTCCCTTTTCAGGCAGGATATATGTAAGAGAAAGTATTCTAGGAGATTGAGGGACCATGTTATTTGACTGAGCTCTGTTAAAAATGCAAAGATGGCCACAA